ATCACAATAAACATTTAGTTGCACTATAACAATCAATAGACACACCCATATATATACGTGTATGTTTACTCATCAAATCACACAATTCGGAAAAGGACTTCAGTTCTTTGTGTTTGATTTACTATTGTCGTAACCCCAACTCCCTACCCTGTCTGCTTTCAAATCGAAAAAAATCAACAACAACAAAATAAACGACAAAAAATGTACGGAAGTTTACTGCTAACTCTGCCAACAACTGTCAAACTAGGCTTTAAATTCAAATCTTTCGCTTTTTATTCATGCCTTATCGATAATTTCGTAAATCCTCTCGCTGCATGTTCATAACAGTCTGCCAATTAGCGATGACAAATGTAATCTGTATTGTGTCCCAGTGACTGCATGAGTTACGCAATTTGGTTGCATTTCTGGAATAACAACATACGCTGTCACCTCTTTTGGTGATAACAAAGAATTCAGTAACATTGAAAAATACTACAATGGGCGAAAAGTCAACGCTGCAAAGATTGCAAGCACTTTAGCTAAAAGCCATTGGCATTACTTTGGTTATTTTTCGTTGATTTACTGTCTAAAAACTACATTTAATGTTTTAGGTAATCGAATCGAATTGAATGGCGCCGAATCTGAAGGAAAATAGCGTATAATTTATCATTCGAAATTGGGTTTGGGCAATTTTACTTAAATTGTTAAAATACGTAAACCCGTAAAATGTTAACATTCTTTATGGCGCATGGCTGTCACAAACATAAACGATTTGTATGTTTCATTTAATTTCGTGATAAATCTGTAGACCTGTAATGTGAAATCTGCTGTGTTTAGGAATATCGGGTCTATTTTGTCTACTATCTGTACCATAGAAACCCATGCATTTATGCATTTCATTAAAGAAAGTTAAGTTTACTTTGTTAATAGTCAATGGTACTTGACCCTACATTATGCATGTTTTGAATGTTTACGTAAAAGCAAACCTGTTTTCTTTTGAAAAATGATGTGTGATTTTTTTTTCGTCAAAGTACCTCGAACTTTGAGAAATGAATATAAAATCTGCGTTACCTGTCCTAATCACTTTAAAATTGTGTACAGTTATTTAAAGGAAAGTGTGAATAATTAATGTAACATTTCACTTTAGGTTTTTTCTTGTTTAAATATATTTTATTGCCGTTAAGCAAAAGGATTGGGCACAAGTTACAATAACATTAACATTAACGCCCTTTTCTTTAGAAGTAAAACAATTACATATACACATTTCAAGATGGCTCAAAATCAATATAAACATATTATTTTCAGTTCAGAGAGAGAGAGAGAGAGAGAGAGAGAGAGAGAGAGATTTACTCAAATTCATGGCTAAATAAATATATTCTTACAAAATACATCTGAAATATATCTTACACTATATTTTACATTTAACCGCACCAACCGAATCATGTTCTCACACAACACAATCATGCTCGCAAGCCATGAAAATTCGGACACCAAATTAAACTAATTGGAAAGAAATAATTGTGCGATTTCATAGAAAGACACAAGAACATGGAACGTGACCTATCTAAAACTGGCGAATACTTAATATGCACTGTTGGACATATATATAAATCCTTATTATCATCATTTGAGTAGTCTTCATGGCCAAATAATAATTTATCTAAACTTAACGGTAAATATTTATGAAGGTTCTGAACAGGCCAGACGTTGGTAGTTAAATCTACCACATGCAAAGAAGAAATGATGAGCATTTTCATAAGGATATCCACATGCACAAGAAGGAGAGTCGATTAGATTAATGTTGAAAAGATCTTCATTTAAAGGACTGCATTTATGGCGGAGTTTGGTTAATAAAATATCTAGCTTACGATCTCCAACTAGGTAGTAATCAGGTACATTAAATGTTTCATTTTGGGTTTTTTACTCATTGATACGAAAGGGGATTTTAAGCTAAAATGTAATATTTCGGTGAATTTTGAGACTTTGTAATATTTAAGGTGTGATATCACCATGGGAACTGTATCAGTAGCGAAATAATTAGTGTTTCTTACACATAATACTTATTTGTTATCATGAAATATGAACGTGACTATATTCGTATCACTCTTTGGATGGCAAAATTTCCGATTATTGTGTACTTTGAACTCAACGATGCTTGCCTTATCACAATTACGTTTGGTTCCTGTTCAATATTGGTAGAAGAGCCAACCACAACACTGTTTTAATTTAATAGTTCCCGGAGATGGCCATTTCAAAAACGAAAAATGTCCGTTGTTCCTTTTCATATTGAAATAGTAGATTATGTGTACGCTTGTAAATTTGATTTTATTGTCAATGTTGAAATATAAATAAAATATGAGGCGCCAGCGTCATAATGTATGAAAATAACGAAATTCATTAAATCATAGGGCTAGTGCACCTCCCCATCTACATTTTCGCATTTCTTTCTATCAATTTTTGTTTTCCCCAGACGCCTGCTAAGTTTCTAAATTTAGGCCACTATCGCCGACAAGTCCTAAAAGAACAAAACAGTTTATTGGTCACTTTAATTTGTAATTTTGCTCTATTCTATCTCAATCGAAATTGTTTTTGAAAGATGCTATCCACTCGTGTCTTTTGTACAACCCTTTCCTTATCAACTAGCAAAAAAGAAAAGGAAGCCATGCTTGACAATTAGATATGTATTTCAGTACGATGTGGTCATTGTTTGACCTATTTTGCGGTAATGTCTACAATGTTAGGGTGGGACGGTGTTAACTGTAATTTACAACAAAATGTCCGGTACATAATCAGGAAATGATAATACGAAAATACGATATGAGTACGTGTATTACAAAAGGTGGAGGGTCGTTAAAACAAGGAGAAACCTATTATGATTGTACTTCCGGTATCGATACATGATGTATGGGTTTAGTATGGTGTATACGTTTAATGTGAACGCATGTTTCTGAGCAAATTCTGAATGGTGTGTACTTTAAGGTATCCATGCCTATTGGCGTATTTTCTGTACAATGATTTGAAGTAATTATTGCTGAAAATAAAGATTAAGTTATTCTTAATTTACAGGTTCAAATAGAGTTTTATCCATGGTACAATTTACATTATATTTTCATTTGTCAGAATTACTTCTAAGATAACAGCAAAAAATAAAAGCGAAAAAAATCACACAAACATACAAAGAATCAACAAATGAAATGATGAAACGATTTGAACAAGACTATAATTTTTAGGACTGGATATGAATAAAAAAGATCATTCTGACAACACATAATACGTAAGTTTGATATCCGAGTGTATACCTACAGCAATATACTTCTGACGTGAATAAGTGTAACTTCTGAGAATTCACTTAATGGTAATTGTATTGCCATTCCACGACTTCTAGAGGGTTTGCACGTCCTTGTATTAAGTAGAACATCTCTATAATGTTGAAGCCTGTACCATCAAACGAACACTCTGATTCCTTTGATAAAACTTACACCTGTCAGATAAGATATCTTGTTGAGAGATGGCATGGGATTACTGGGCCAACCTAATTTAGATGATGTTAACACATCGTTGTAACAGATTGGAAACACATTATAATTCTTCTGATACTATCTCCGTTGCTCTCTCCCTCCTTGTTCTGCAGTTATGTTATTATAAAGGTAGAGATTACCAATGTAAACACATTTAGGAAAGGGTGTTTTACTAAATTCTTCACCTTGAAGCGAATTAGATTTTTTTCTCAGTAGTTTCCATTATGGTGGTACCCGTTTTTCCAACTGTGTGGATTGATGAAATTTTCTTTTGCTTGAAAGTTCGTTTTATTAGAAAATGATGGCTAAATAATGCCGATATGATAAGAATCAATGAATTTTCCGTCATTATACCTAATCACTATTAATTGTGATTCAGTCAGATGTACTACCAGACAAAATGATATAAAAAGACGGTTTTATTAGAGACCGTGCATGTTAATGTTTTCTAAAGCCAGACTACGCATATTGATAATGAGTTTGGATATTGTGTATAATGCTACAGGGCCTCGACACTGCAAACAACAGCTCCTCCTTAATCTTATTCTGGTGCGATATGAGACTAATGCATTCTCCGTCGCAATATCCCATCACCAGGTACTGTAAAATCACTAGGTATTCGCGGGGGTTTATTTTCGTTGATACCGTAGGTTTTCTTCACTGACGGTTACAAACTGGCGTATACTTTAAGTAGTGATTGATTTCGTGATTACAATTCATTCACGAGATCAAGTGGTTTTGAAATACAAATATTTTGAAAACTAAACTGGAGAATTCGTTCTCACGGAGAATTATACTACCTGGAACCAGCTCCCCGAACTAGATGTCGTCATGACATTTGATACCCCAAAACAGTTCAAATCAGGCTAAAAACATTGGAAACGTACATAGAAATCAAATTTGAACTACATGAATTATTCAGCGGGACCAGAGATTGAAGAAAAATTTGTGATAGGTCAGAGAAGTGGACGGCCTATATAAAGACCTTGACGTGATTTTTTCATGATTTCGTCCTATCTTTCTAAAATCAAACATAATATAAGTTTCGGCACATGCTGTCGATAGCTGGTAAGACGCCATTACACCCACCGCTATCACTATACCACATTTTCTCTTGTGTCTCTCTATTCTGTTTTGCAGTTACTAGACATCTTCTACCTTTTCTTGCAGACACACAGATGTCTGATTCGGTTGATCAGATTTCTGATTTTGAAATTTGGAAATAGAAATTTAAGGAACTACGAATACATTTGTTTGAGAAAGAAAATCTGGCCTAAGGTTTCTCTGCCGATGATAAATACTGATTTCCTCGAGTGCTTGAAGGAAAATCGGGATCAAGGAAGTTTTGGAATATCTGACTTATTATGGTCTACGTTTGTTCACGAATAGCTTCTTTTGATTTCAAACCACAATATTTTTTATCTTTTATGGCATTATTATGACGATGTCTTGATAAAGAATAAATAAACTCGTATACAACAGTTTCATACCGTTTATACTTACCCAGCATCTTTAGAACAGAGCGGCGCGCCCGCGCCTGTTGTTGCGCGTGGAGTTCTACACCACGCAGATGTTCCTTACTGGATGAATCCATTGATCCCCGACTGAGTGTAGATCTCCGGATGGTGATGGCGATGAGAGTATAAAGGACGGTGATGAAGGTCATTGGTACGGCAAAGAAAATAATGGCCGACACCTGGAACGTCCATTTGATGCCTTCTTGGGCTTTGAATGTACACATAGCTGACTGTATGACGGTGCTGTTCCAGGGGTCGGGGATGTACACCACTCCATATTGTATCGCTTGGGGGATTGCACATATTGTCGACAGACACCACGTGCAGAATATCACGCGCACAGCCCGATATAAACTGGACATTCTTTGAGCCTTCATTGGAAAACATATTGCAACATACCGTTCCACAGTGAATGCCGTTATAGTTAAAATCGACGTAAACGTCGAAATTTCGGCGAAAAGCACTCGTGCCACGCAAAATGCTTCGCCGAATATCCATGGATACAATGACCATATTGTATAAAGATCCGGGGGAAGGCCTATAAGTAACAAAAGTAGATCAGCCACAGCCAGATTAAACAAATAATAATTTGTAGCTGTGTGCATGAACTTATTTTTTGCTATTACAATGCACGTGCACACATTTCCAAAAACTCCTGTGCAAAAGAGAATGCAGTATATAAGAGTGATACTGATGACTGTTGGTAAATCATCTCTTCTTGGTTCCAACTGTTGTGCGAGGTAGCGCCACACGTCGAAACTATCGTCATCCGAAAGTACGTTTGTAGACGCATTTCCGTATCTTGACTCGTTGAAGATGGTGGATAGGTGTTTCCTAAACAGATCCTTACAGTCCGGTCCTTCATTGCGGTCTATGTGCAATGTTCTGTTTTTAACAAGGCCCAAACACACCCTTATCGCGGGGTGCATCGTTTTGTGGGATGAGGTGAAGAGGATTCGCCCTGGGACAGCGGACTACCAGCTCCTCGTCCCGGGACCCTGGTATTTATCTACAACACAAGTGGATGCGGAAGTCGTAATTCAGACTAAATCAATATGACAATATTACGAAATATGATCTCTTCGGAATTTCTACTGACTGAACAGATTGTCGTAAGATGGACTGATACCTGACTTTGCTCTACATTTGTTATCAGCCATCATAACAAACATCGGCTTCACGAGCAGATGACCATTGATATAACTCTCATAAACAGATATAACTCTCATAAACATGGGATTGGTCAATTTAAATTTAATGATCGCTTCGGTTATACAATATAGGATCAGAGACAAGCAGTAATATGCTGATCTATAATCGAAATCGTCAATGACGATGTTCCTAAAATGTCAGATGAGTAAGTCAGGCGCGCACGTGCATTGCGTGCGATTGAGTTAACATTCATATCAGCATGCCAACGAAGTAGAAAGTTTACTCACAATGAAACCGTATTAGCGACGTCGCCTAGACAATTGCGGTCAAGTACGAAAACATAGTTTTGAAATAGGTCAGTGTCCGTTGTTGATAAAGTGAAATACAGGAAATTTCCTACTTGACGGAGCTTTAACAGCTTCAGTCAAATGGAAAACCGTTGGCGTCGGCGTTTGCCCGCAGAGAAATAAACGTCATTCATACATGGTCGTCTGCTTGAAAGAATTAAACTTAGTAACAGATAGAGACAACACAAACAAGCGCGCGCGCTAATCAGAACACTGACGTCATTCCAACACACCGGAAGTATTTAGAAACTATTACGGAAATTGGTCGTGACGTGACAATTTATTTTTCAATTTTACAAAATTTCCTCCATTTTCATATAACACTAAGTTCATTAAAATTCAGACATACTAGAGTGAACGAATCATTCTCCACGACTGCTTTGTGTTCCACTTACCTATTTTTGAAACACCATTTATAAACTTTGATCAACTAAGCGCGGAAAGGTACTTCATATAACGACCTGTCAAAATTTCTAAAAGTTGTCCGTTTTTTATTTTCTGTTCATAAGATATGCTTTAATGTTCTTAATAAAGGCACTGCTTATTGCCAAGTGTAATAAAATGTTGACCAATATCACTGTCCTTGATACTTGTTGCAATCGCCTGAAATACCCTAGAGGCTCCCTCCTCCAATATAATTCCTGATATAACGTAAAATCAATAAAGTTGACAGCAATTACAGACCCACTTACAGCCAACAGATTTGATAAATGGCCGTAATTTTATCGTCTTTAATGCTGCTTAGTGACGATAATTATTGTTATTTCGTATCGAAAATAGGTAAAAAAAATGTGGAAATAAGCAAAGTTCATTGTCATAGCTTGAAATTAATTAATCATTATTTCACATGAAAAATTGACCAAAAAAACCTGACATTCTTGGAAAGTAACAAAAAAGTATTTTGATGTATAAAAAACCTTTTCTGCTTTGGCTTTCATACACATTAGCAGTCAGAAAATGGATGATAGGTCTCCGTTGTTCAGGTAAGTTTGTTTTACATCCTTGCATCAGCTTAGGTCATATGTGTTCATGGATGATGCGATATCTCAAAAGTTGCTTTTACTTCAGCATTGAACTGCTCTCATTTGACATTCATAGGTTTATGAACGCCAATTTGACAAAGAAAATTGCCGCTCCACGATGAATTTGCCTTTGTCCAGTTGACCGTCATAAACCGATGAATGCCGATTGATTATTTACTTAATTCTTATGTTAGACTACTTTTCATTTTTTCGTCAGTTTTTATTTAAATTCATGTTTTCCTCGCTTTCCGTTGGCAGTTATGAGATGATAACCAACAATATCTTAACAACGGATGTATACATAGACAACAGACAAGAAAAAGATATATCTCGGAATCATGTGGTTCCCTGTACATAGAGTCAATATTCCTTTAGAAATGACACCAAATCAGACACACGTAGATTGAAACAGAATTTGGAATGGCTCCGAATTTGATAAAAGTATTTATTAGGATAAGTTTTATCTGGACAGAATCATATCGTCGCCTCTCTTGCCTATATTGCTTTATCATTTTACTTTATCAAATTTACCATCATGCTTGATACTTACCTTAACTGCTCTTCAATGTGAATTAGTATGTAATAGATGCTCGTTAGTATAGCTGATGGTTCCGTTTTACCTTGTTATCATTTAGTAGCGAGACGTTGGATTACATGATTTTTACATGGCGAGTATCAATTGATGAAACAGAAGACGCTTACCACTCCAGAACACCTGGTCAGTTTACTTGTGAATAATTTTAGTTAACAATATACATTCATTTTTTGCTCCATTATTTGTGAATTAATTTTGCTGTTAGATATAGCGGACTTCGATCACTTTGGTAATAAACAAAACAAAAGATGATATATAGATTGATCATTGTTATGAGTCTAAAGGAGTGATGACACGTCATTGAATCAGTAAATGTCATTCTTTCTTATTGTTTTTTAAAATGAATTCAAAATATCATTTTAGAAAAAAATGTTTGAATAGCTACTGTTTTATGTAAATCAGGCATTACTAAAATTATTTAATGAACAAAACAATTAAATACTATTAATTATTTTGATTAATTGCTTTTTCGTAAACATGCCTCTTACTTTATACATGTGTATATTTCTGTCCTTCCTTATGTTAGGTACAAAGTACAACAAAAATATTAACCAAACCTACATCTGGGAAGTCTGACTCTCACATATTGTGTATATACCTATGCTTGTAAACCATTGATTAGTCAATGGCATTCCTAAACACAATTGGCAACAACTGTCATACGCATTGCTGGGGCGTAAAGAGCATCCCTGCGACAAAACGAAAGTCCCAACCCCTCAAGACAAACATCTCCGAACAAAATCGAAGCTTTCACATACAGTGTAATATATCCAGACAAAAAATTCCTCCAGATACAGAAAGTTATATTTGAACCCAACATTTCTATAAACACTATTTGCACCATTTTGATGACAACACATTCGGGAACCATCCAGCCGGTGATAGCCTATCCTTGTGAAGTATTAAACTGATGAGATATGCTGTGTATAGAATAACTATGATAATCTGCTTCTGTTGAAGCATGCTACTCCTATCTGTTTCAACCATGCACACAAAACCCCACCACTTCTATATCGCCTTCATCTTTGTTGCCATCTACCGTCATTCTATCACAATTCTGTCTCTGGAATTATCCATTTCTATTCCCCGTCATGCACTAGAAAAAAGTCTCGCTGTATCTACCGCACGTTATTGTGTCTACTAAAAAAAGACTCTCTTTGACTGAGGTTCCATTTTTGTCTCCTGATTTGCGAAAATAACATTTATCTGGAGCCGTTCTTACAACACTGGATACACATGTTTACTTTTTCACCCTTGTCTCTTCTTTCTTTCGTCCCTACTTAGAATGTGCTCCAATTTCCCATTTTTTCGGAGATTTAAAATCTATTTGACCTTATACGTTTAATTTGTTGATATGTAACTTATGAAAAAGGAACCTGCTTCGTTTATTTCTCTCTTTTGCTGCCCAATTACATTATATGTTTTCCTTAATATTTTTCTCTTTCTTGTAAATGATTGGATCTCGATTTTTGAATCTGTTATAAATGGTCATCATTGGTAAAACCGTGTTTGTTGTTGGGAAAGCAAACACAACACGATAAACATGTAACTGTAAAGAAAAAAAATGGCCTGTGATCATTTTGTAGACAAACACTAAAACACTGTCATATAGAGACACTAGTAATTACAGTCCACAGGGTATTGTTAAACTATTTTCGATTTCGAAAAAAGGTTGACACGTGCACCGGATGTACATGTATGCACTTTCAAGCAAGCATTGAATAACAAACCCACGAAACAAGGAAAAGCGCAATTTAGAACGAATCAGACATGCAATATTTTTCTAATTACGAAATGTAGCTTGTCTCGTCCGTCCTTGATCACGTGACAACAACAATGTGAATTCGTGAGAAAACACAGGAAACGATTACTGTTAATTACGTTTGCATATAAATTGAAAAACACCGCGTCATGTAGTTATTTTTACCGTGTTTCATGCTTTCGTTATTTATTATTGATTCGGAAACATCATCCGACATGTTACTTTAAAATTTCATCTCTGTTAATCAGTTTCAGTTTGTGTCAAGTATTTGACTTGAGAAAAGAATCGTGCCAGTTAAACAACCGCTTCAGCCCTCACATGAGATCAAATAAGTCATCTGTGTACCAAAGCATATGAATACCACGATAAATTTGCTAATTAATAGCTGTGAAAATATTTGATTTCCTTGTTCAATTTTTCAACCTTTTATTAAAATGTCAGTCTTTATCTAAAGCAAATTTTTCAGATGTCAATAATCATTTAAAAAATTGAACTAATTACCAAAATGGCTTCAATTCTGCTCTAACCTTTACTTGGCTACATAAAAACATTTTTTTGATTGACGGCGACAACAACAACTTTCATTTGTCACGTTGTGAGAGTCAGCCATAGTGATGACGTCACAATCATCACCACAGTGGCACCCGCTTTATTTGGATAACGTGCACAAAGTAATCTGGAAGGCATATCTTTAGTGTTTGGTAGGGATGATGAAAGACGTGGCGAGTGTACGGAGGTCACAGCCATCTATACTCATTTCTTTGTAGAGTATAATACTGTTGTTGCTCTCTAATATAGAAACTAACAACGCATTGATGAATGTCTTTTGGCCAGCGTATGGGAATAGGAACGTACACAATGTTATTGATTCCGCATAAAGAATGCAAATCTTCTACAGGAAAAATGAATGAGTTTTGATTTCCTATAAAACCAGTTCTATTAATGTTGCACTTTGGTTTGAAAATATCAGAGAGATTATATACAACCTTATCGTTTATTTTCTTTTTTGTCAAAAATCTTGTCTCGAAATTGTCTGGTGATAATCTTGAAA